TATATATATATATATTGTATTGTATTGTATTGTAAAATTGAAAATATTTACCGGTAGACCCGGTGGACCAGTATCACCCTTAGCTCCATCGTAACCGATGTTTCCTGGCGCACCAGGTGCACCAGATGGTCCTTGATCTCCTTTTAGTCCGGATATGCCAGGACGACCAGGCTTTCCTTCCATACCTGGTAATCCAGGGAATCCTGGTGAACCTTTTTCGCCATGTTCGCCCTTTAAACCTGGTAGACCTTCAGCTCCAGGTTTACCTGCAGTACCAGGTAATCCTCGTCTGCCGGGATATCCTTTTGGTCCATCGATACCTGGTTCACCGCGATCACCTTTTGTTCCCGGGAATCCTGGAAGACCCCCTCTACCTGGTTCTCCTGGTAACCCTGGCTCACCTTTAAATTAAACGATTACAATTAATAATATGAAATTATTCAATACATAATTATTACATTATTAATTCTAGCAAATTATAAAACTTAAATTATTTTCTCTAATTTTTTTTGTAAAACGACATTTATTACATAAATATTCTTAGTTATTGCTGACATATGAAATCCTTTATCATGTTATACCTTTGATCCCATCCGCTCCTGGAATACCAGCAACACCTGGAGGACCAGGTGGACCAATTGGACCTGTGTCTCCTTTTGCACCAGGTGCTCCTGGCAAACCATTTATTCCCGGTGGGCCCATGTCTCCTTTCTCGCCAGTAAAGCCTGCTAATCCCTGATAACCGCGTAGACCTTCTTTTCCTGGTGGTCCAGGAAGACCTTTCTCTCCCTTTTCACCTGGAGGACCTGTTAGACCAGGACTACCTTTGACTGATATTCCAGGTTCTCCTTTTTCACCCTTCGGAGCCGGAGCACCTGGAAAACCCCTAGGTCCTTCTCGACCAGATTCTCCTGGGAAACCCATAGGACCCATGTTACCCTTATCACCACGCGGACCAGGTAAACCTCTTGGACCCACAGGTCCAGGTGCACCGATTGGGCCAGGTGTACCAGGTGGACCCTGATTTTTAAATTGCAACATTATGTTGTGATGTTATATTTCTTAAATAAAATAACTACTTATGTGTTTAGTTTATTATTTATCATTATTTTTATTATTTAATTTATTATTTATTTATTGTTTTGATATAATTGTTATTAATTAAATTATTAATAAAATTTAGTA